TCAATACCAGCAACATGTGTTTTTAAGTTGTTATATCTGAATATGCACACATTTAATTTGCATATTTCAGTTGCTGTCACGATTAAAGAAAACAATATGGCACTACACCAACCTACTGTAAGTAACATCATGTCTTCTGGAGTGGTTATCAGCAGTCTGTGGGAATCGTAATTATTAATTTCTGCGTGGCTGATGAACCATTATTAGCTTTGCTGAACCAACAGTAGTGGAGAGAAGCTCTGTTACTGTACGTAATTAGTAGGCGAGCTGACTGGGATCAATCCCAACAGATCTACATTCTCTCCATGTTGTGAAAGAAAGGGAGAAAAGAACAATCTCAAAATACGTTAGAGTAGCCTCAAAGGCTGCTTTTACCAAGGCTGGTTGGGGTGGTTCTGTTGGGACCCTTGTATGAGCACCAGACCAGACAGCCTCGACATCTAGCTAAATACCACCCCTTGCCCCTTCCCACAGTCCCTGCCGTGGTGACGAGATGATGTAGCATCGCCCTTTGGGACTGACAGGACATCAGCAAAGTAAACAGGTTCTCCACTGACAGTGTTTTCAGTATGCAACTTCGTGTCCCAAAGTCAACTTTGTTTCATTACAAATTAGAATATAAAATAATATCTACTTTATATATTTTTTGGAGAATACTTCATCAATTTTCCTTTAGTGGAAAGACCTAAACACTTTTATTCATTTTGATACAAACATCACAACTCTGTATGGTTAGACATACTTTTTGTACCGTAAGTGTAGTACAAATATATATTCATCTAATTTTGTGAACTACCTGGATCTAGTCAATGTGTTCAAGACATTTGGTAAATTATTGCCTTTTTATGGCAACATTTTTTTCCCCAAATTCCCATTAATTTAGCTTACTGGAAAGTGTTCATTATTACACCCAAACTTTTAATTACACGTCTCAGATGTGTACTTTTAATTAACTGATGGCATTTCCTTTGTTCAATTATTGTAGTTCAGTACAACTGTCATAAACTTATAAATTTTAATTAAAGCTGCCCCAATCTCTAGCTATATAATGTTCACATAGGAATTTGCCAAAAGGCTTAGCAGTAAGTAAACCAACAGTGAATAATCCCTGAATTGCCAGTGGGATTTGTTTAACAAATTAACATTTGTGTGCAGATAATGAGGTTCTACAACTTAACACATCCAGCAAAGATTTAGCACAATCATCTTTTTAAAAATGAGTAATACTCTGCAATTTACTTAATTAGTTATCACATCACTATTATATATTAGGTGGTGAAAGAGAACAGGATTTACACATTCACGAGAACACACACATTCAGTATTTCATATGCTGCATCATTTTATTTATATCAGAATATGCTGAAAGGCTTTTTTTCAGGATATTTCTCCCTCAGTTTTTGAGCCAGAAGCCAACAGTGAGGAAATTCCCTGACTCCTAAGGAAGCCTCCCAGCAGCAGGCACCCTGCAGAAGCTCATCTCCCTGTGAGGCTGAATTTAGTGCCAGGCCCGAAGCTTTCCAAAGGGCATGAGTGTAGAATGACACTCGTCACATCGACTGCATCAGAGCTGTCTGAGTTGGTTAATATACAAGAATTGATAAGGGCAATCAGAGCTTTTAAGAAAGACAGAGTCAAGCAAGCTGAAATTATCACAGGTCATTTAGATTTTGGGGGTAGGATTTGGGTTGGCAGTCACACACATGTGGCTTCTGCAACTTCCAGAGGAAAAAGCTTTATCATTTCAAACAAAAATAAATCTAAAAAAAAAAAAAAAAGGGGGAAAATACGTTCAACTTGATTGTATCAGTTTAGCAGGACGGTTTGATGAGCCAATTGTATAACAGATCAAAAGTATAACCGCTGTTTTTTGAGGAACTGGTTATGAGCACTGTAGTACAGGAGGTGGTATGCAGAGATAGCAATAGCACTGTAGATCAAATTAAAATGATATGGAGCTGACTTTATTTCACAATTGTAATTTTGTACCTTCCAGAAGTGTGAGGGAATTCTCTGCCAAAAAAAAAAAGTGTGCAATGTACCTACTGCTGGCAGACAGGTCAAACTGGTAGGACATAGTATAAATCTAGACACAATATAATGCTTCAGTCCTACAACCATTAAGGGAAAACTGAGCAATTCCTAGTCATAAAGAACCTTTTTATTCCTACCTGTAGCAACGTGCAAGAATAAAGTAACATGACCACCAGCGACACTCATACGAACCTGACAAAGCAGATCAACTCTGCCTTGAAGCCTGAGACAAGAAGGACATGAGCGAATGCTGCTCTGGTCTGGATTTCACACCCTCAGTTCAAACTGGGAATGGTGTGTGCAGCCCCTGCAGCTTAATGTCCACTCACTGAATGCAAGGACTGAATTTGCACAGTGGTGTACTTGACTGGAAAGAGGAAACAGTTGCTGCAAAAACACTTGAGGAATTAAGCTTTTACGACTTAATTACAGTTTTCAATGCTTTTGGTGCATCCATTTTAGCCTTCCTCTCTAAAATACATACCGTCCTTAGTATATCATGGATTAGATTAAACTAGGATAAGAGGACATCTCACTGACATGCTAGTTTGTTTCAGTAACACACAATTTATGGCCTGATATAGATAAGAAATACAGTCTGATAAGAAACAGAGATTTCTTCCTAATAGAATATTTACAGGGTCCAGGGGTTAGGCATGCAAGGAAGATGAGATGCGGATCAATTTGAAAATTTTATCTGGAATGCTAGATGGAGTCCCTTTGATTTAGAAAGATAGACAGGGTTTTTTTCCACATCTCCAGCACATGAAAGTTATGGCACGGGCTTCAAGGCATGGCTATCCTCATGGATTGGAAATGGCAGACAGGAAATCTGGTTAACTTGAAACATGATTAATACAAATTTGATTGAACTGGAAAAGTGGACACAGCACAGCAGAAGTATATTCTTATTAGCAGGTATGCCCAGTAAGAGACATCAGAACCAGCTCTATGCTGATCTTGGCTCATAAAGGCTTGACACACTTTGGCCATGTGTGGTACAGTCAACGTTAGTTGCAGTTAAAGGTTCAGGTTCCCAAAAATCAGGCAATTGAACAGTGTGATGTGGACTGTGGTGACATCCACGCTGGCTCTCCCGATGCATTTTTTGGTGCAGGCACATTATCCTGTTTGAGACCAAGCAGAAATAAGGTGAATGCCTGCTCTCCAGGCCCTCCGTAGGAGCTGAGGTCACGCAGCAGAAGTACATTGTAGAATCTGCTCATATATCTCCTTTACTCACTAGCGACTAAACCTACCACACTAATCATTTCAGCAAGTCTGAGAGATTTCAGAAGCTGAATATATAGCAGAGGGAAAAAAACCCAACCCAGGCGATAGCATAGCTGTGTGAGCACAGCAAGTGTTTGCTGCCTGGTAAGGAAAACACGAGCTGCTGGAGGTGAGTGAGCCCTATGGCTATTGCCAAATTAAAACCCTGGGGTCTCTGCAGGATACAGAGCCGAGCTGAGCTGCTAATGTTATGAAGACTTTTAACGCCACAAAAGAATCCATTAAATGCCAGACGTGTAAAGATGTGGGAGTAAACACTCTCTCTTCAAATGACAAGTTCTGCACATCATTTAAATAACCCATGACTTACTTTCAATCACTTGCATGTCCTCACTAAACATATATTGATCTCACTACATTGATAAAAATCTCTTCTTATCATTTGTGCCACTAGTTCCACCAGCTGTTAGAAGCAGTTTCAAGTATAATTAATCAACTTCAAGTAGAAGTAATTCTCATTTTCTAATATTTAGTCATCATTAGCAATGTTAACTATGAACAACATTATTAACCCCCAAGTACTCAGAACCGAAAAATCCTGTTTGGCACACAACAGATTGCTAGATTTGCATTCACTTGGAGTTTTGCCACCCCATCTCAGTAAATAAGAAGAGGCTCCAGAGAAGCCAGCATAGTAAGTGAAGCTAAATTACTAAACTGTGTAAGTTAAAGTTAATTAGCAAGGAGTGCTGAGGGAAACATTGAGATCTAAGCCCCCTCTCTCACAGTAGCTAAGGTAACTAATTCTGCATTACAGGGAGCTTTCTGTGCTAACCAGTCACAAACTCCTGCCTTAAAGTCAGGTGCTTGTACTTTTCTTTCAGAGATCAGGGTGTTGGTCACTTCATCACATAGAAGAAAATGATTGACACCATCTTCAGCAGCTGACAATCCTCTGAGAAGAAGAGACCAGACACCAAATTCTTCTCCAGCTGTTGTACTTTCAATCAAATATTTAAATATTTCTTGGAGCAGAAAACAGAATTCAACTTCTCCTTTCTCACAGAATTACTAACTTTTAGAGTACTTCTTATCACACTTTCCCTCTCTAGCTCAAACACTAACTGCATTATAAAAGCTATACAACAGCTTACATGTTAGGGACAAAGATCAACTGTCAAACATTCACTTTTTGACAGTTAGGATAATCTCCCTGAAGATAAGAGATGTAATTTCAAGTTCCTTGAGGAAAACAGAGGATCTGAGTTCTGATCAACCAAATCTTCCTGTGAATTAGATGAGTAAAATGCCTATTTTGTGAGTTCCAGTAAGACAAAGCTAAGAGATTGAGGTCATACAACTCCATAACTGGAGGAAAACTCTCAGTGTATGCAGTGTATGAATTGAGATAAAGAGAGATCAAGATGTGTGGGGTTGTTCCTGTCATTTGACTGGAACTTACACTCTACAGTTCCACTTCTACACCTCAACACGTGCAGCTGAGCACTTATGTGCTCCCTTTTCTGGGACGCAGCTTAACTCTGCCAAACCACTAAGACACGTGAATGAAAAGCACTACTGATTATAAAGTATATGCATGGTATATACCGCTATTTTGCACATCGTTTAAGTACAGACAAAGCAAATAAGCTACAAAGAGAAAAAGGAACCAATTCAAACATTCAAATTAAGGCAGGTATAACAGTAAGATATAGCTGCGCAGACATATTTACCGAGGAGAGAGGCTCCACAGGTTCCTCCGTTCTGGCAGTAATTGTAGCAATGGTTAGTTTCACACCTTTCACCAGAGTAACTTGGCCAGCAGTGACATCGGGGATCCCCCTTCTCATTTATAACGCACTTTCCTCCATTTTCACAGGTTAATTTACAGGAATCATCTGCAGCAAGACAACACACAGAGAGTTGTTTCCAACAACGCCATTTCATCTAACTGGCAAACCAGAACCTTGCATCATAAATACAGCTACGAATAGGGGGGTGGGGTGGGAAATCACATTTCAAAATGGAGAAAATAAACTGCCCCTTCTGTTTCCACAGTGCTAGAAAAAAATATAAACTTAGGAGACCTGAAGCACTGGAAAGGCTGTCAAGAGCTGCGGTGTCGGTGGCTAGCCTGTACCACAGGGCTGGGAGCTTGTGCCCTACCAAGTTGGGGGCCTGTGCATGGCAGTTATGCTTCATCCAAATAATGCCCCAGGAAAGCTGACCTCCTCAGGAGGTACGTTAGTAATAACAGCATGAATTCTTGTTCGAAACTATCGTTCCTAGTTAGTTTAAGAAATGACAAGATGACTGTTGGTTTCACCTTGGGGATCTCGGAAAACTTCCCAGTCATTTTCTAGTGACCTCAGCCTTTTCCTATTTGATTTTTTTGGATGTTTCTTCCACTCTATTAACTAACGCCTGTGGGAGTGTAGCTCGCTGAAAACAGGCATGGAATGCTAGAGGGCCTGCACAAGGGAAACTCTGTTGAACAGTTTGTCTAAACTAACATACTAGGCCTCAAGGACGCTTCGACCTTGAGGGTCAGAATAGAAGAATTAGAAGCTAACATCCGTATGAGGCGGAACACATTAGTATTAATACTAAAGTGATAGGTAGAAGCAGATGACTGATGTATGTATAGCACAATTGGAGTTTATGAAAATTGCAAGTCATGATGACTTTGGAAAATTATGCTATATAAGAAAGTGCATCTGCACAATAAAATGAGTTTCCTGATATAACTCATATTGAGTCTTTTGTGGATTCTCCAAACTCCCGTCTCCGCAAACGCCCTTCTTAACTAAACCCTACCCAAAATATTTAAAAGGAAATTATTCACCCTTTAAATCCTCCTCAAAAATTGATATTTGCATACTAGTTACTCCTAAACCATATTTTCTGATTATTCTTTTTTCTTGTCTGCTCAGTCTGTAAAATCACTGAGAAGAGACACTGCCTGCTGCTCTGCATTCACCGAGTGCTCACGGCAGCAGTGCCACCATCTTAGCGGTGAGGTGTGAGGTGACACAAATTCTGGTTAGGCCAGATTGAATCTCTCTATAAAGCTGTTTGCAATTAGAGTTGTGCTTGGCTTGGAAACACTTGAAAAATAAATCTCTATTCATTTCAGTGAATAAGATATAAAATCATTCAATGACACCAACAAGAAATTAATTATAAACTAGCACTCATACAATGCTCAAACATCCAAATAATTGTAATCCTAAAAAAATAGACAAGCGCCTTTCCAGCCCAAAACACGCTTTCAGCAATACGACTTTTCATTTCTCACGTAGCAACACAAATCCTGTGAAGCCAGACTGCTTCGTAACTAATCCAGCATTTGAGCCTACATGGCTTTTAACAAGAGGGACACCACAAACACTGAGAATTCTTCAGTAATATATCCACCAGCTGCAGATGTTTTGTTGAATTTGTCTGTTTTAGTCAAACAACTAACGAAAAAGCGTCAAGGTTCCCATTTATCCTATACGTGTTGAGGTCTAACACTGGTTGACACAGGCACACCAACTCCTTTTTTTTTTGACGTTTAAAGAAACGCATTTTGTTGTAAGTGAAGAATTTAGGAATGTCAGATATCCCCTAGCTGAATAGTTCTCTCCAGCACAGACTCTGCAGAGATCAGTCATACAACATGCTCATGCAGCAGCCTTTTCTTTGGATGCCCCCAGGTCTCTCTTTCCTGCCTGGGCCTCTCCTCGGCAGGGGCTGGCTGCCTCCGCTCACGGCCGGCGCTGAGATGGTGCAGACATGTAACCTGGGATCAGACCTATTGAAACAGAACTTCTAGGAATGGATCATTGTTCAGGTAGTTGCATCTCTCTCAAATTAAGCTGAAACTAGACAACAAATCTAAAAGCGTATGTGGGGGACTGACTGGCACATCATTATTTCAGGCGTTTTACAATAAAAATACAAAATACTTTATGCACTTAATTTTTTTGGTATCTGCCCTGAATATATACATCTGCTGTAACAAAGCTACTTTGTATTTGGGAGTTTGAGGATGCCTCAGTGTTTTATTTATTTGGGTGGTTCATTAAATCCTTTGATGTTCCATGAACCATTCTTCAGTTACTCATTATTGAAGTTGTTTAAGTGGATAATGTAGCATATCTTATTGTGAAAAGGTCTATTTTTGTTTTGCTTATCTTATCTGTTTTACTTATCATTAGTCATGAGTTTATAGAGCAGAACTTGCTAAAAACAGAGTGAATAACACTGAAATACAGACAAGTGCTCATTTTTACGAACCTTTCTGACAGTACATTAAAACATACTACATTTCTCTTCTAGAGTATCAAAAGGCATATTTAGAACAATAAAACTTGAAAATTAACCTAACCATGCCAAGAAATACATGCCTTTGTATTTTCAGGAAAATATACTGAGCCAAAAATTGCTCACAGTAATGATTTTCTACTCCACTTAGCTTTCAAAGATTGGGGCACTCATGTCTTACACTTTTAAAATGCACTATATGTTATGAATTTATGCAATGGTCAACTGAGAAGATTCTTGAAAAAAACCCCAAAATTTGTAACATTTTGTACCATTACAGGATTATTAATATACATTACTGATTTTGTTCTCTGTAAAACATTCTAAATTCAAGAGTTTCAATACAAATCTAATACAAAACAGAGAAAAGTTACTACAACAATTTTGTACTTTAAATAAGCTAAGAAACAGGATTGAAAGATGTAATAGATAAGCCAGTTTTAAAATACCATGTTAGACCTTTAACAATATGGGGTTTTAATGCTGCTGCTTTGTTGTCTGAAGGTAAATACAAGAATCAAATTATTCTTGTTCATTCACATCAGCTGAGTACAAAAGTGGATCAGATGCCTTTGTGTGGGAGACCGAAGCAGAACAGTCCAATAGGAGAAGACAGGAAGAAAAAGAATACAGGAGAGAAACACGGAAGAATTGATATCAAAAGCTGAATACTCTTAATTTGAACTACTTAATAAAGACCTCTGAAAGAAGAGCTGGAAACAGGTCTAGTAAGTAACCACCATTGGAACAAATTTTGAAAAGAAAAAAGGAGAAAAAATGGAAAAAAAATCTGGAGTCAATTCCATACTGCTCTAAGCTTGCTGGAAGTCAGACTCAAAGACCTCTCAGCTGCCCTTTTCGCTTCTGAAATGACAGAAATAAATCATTTCCCTTGTTACCCTATTCCTAGTCTAGCTACTGGATTTCTCTAACATGAAAGGAAGGAAAGGGTTACAGGTCATGTAATTTTCTGTATTCTCTTCCAGCCTGGTTATTTAGTCTTCTGCTGCCTCTATTTGCCTACTTCAATCTTAATATGTCTTTAATAAAGAATCAAATAACTTTGATTTGAAGTTTTTCTTATGTTTTTCTTCCTGATATGACTGTTTGACACAAATATTTACGGACTTATGGCTTATTTGCTTCATCTTTGACTCTTTCCTTTAACCGAAAGTAAAAGGAAAATCTTGCTGGAAGAAACACTAATAAAGAAGCAAACCAAAGCTTTATGAACTCTACTGGTATCTTTTCCCCGCACTCGTTCAGTTTTTGATATCCATCCCTCTCCCCAAGTCATAATCACACACACATCTTTTATTGACATTTCTGTAACAAACCTGTCTTTCTTGAGAAAAACGCAACTTTCTTTTTGCTATTTTTTCCCTTTGAACCATGCACTGACTTCTGGACTAGGCAGTTAAACGGAGAGATGACACTATAAAGCACAAGGTTCACGCACTACTTTCTTTGGGACAAGAATAGTTTCCCTCCCCACGGTGGAAAATACTCATCTTATGGGGCAGAAGGGTATTTGTTCTTGCCTGCCCTTCAGACAAGGGTGCAGCTCATCCTTCACTGAGCTGAACACACCTATTAAAGACAGAGTGCAGAGTTCTAATTTTATGGTATAAATCTTCTTGTCCCTCCAGGTAGGGGTCTTACTATCAGCCAGTTTTCCATATGCCGAAATTTATCAGAACAAGTTGTAATGCCCAAATTTCATCTGAGTGCTCTAAGACAGACCCTCCTCTTTGTTTTCCCTTCACATTTTTTTTTTTCTTTTAAAAAACTGTTTGCTTTGCTATTTTAAACGGAAAAGAAGGGCTAAGAAAACAGTGTACAGTGAGAAAAAACTAACCAACACCTGCTGTAATGTAACCCATTTTCTTCTGTTCTGGGAAATACCAGTCCCAACAGTAACCCCTCCGTAAATATAGAAGATACTGCTGTAAACAAAAGGCTATTTTCAAACCAGAAACAGATTTCTGTGTGACCCCTGTTCCATTTGATAACTAAAAAGAGTCAAAGAAGGACATAACCCAAGAAGATCGCATGGATTGAACTGCCATCGCTTTTGCTAGTACAGTTCCCAGAGGCAGACTTTGTGGGTGAAAAAGAAGGTATATAGGGATTAACCTCTACATCCCCAGACAAAGCACTTGGTCTGCCTGCAATCTTTGTGTACAGTGGGCAAGTCCCCACAGAAATGTGCTGAAGGAAAAACCACAATAAATTAAATGTTTCATCTCTGTTCAGAAGCAACATCAGATCTGAGTCTTGGTAATTTTTCTCATGCTTTTCATCCAGGCAAGAGAGCACAAATATTCCCTTATTAAAATGAAAGCGATAAATGTGCAGCTCCAGAATACAGAACTCATGGAAGTGTTCATTACTCTTGCTCATTCAGCTGTGGTAGACACTGCCTTCCTCCAGCGCAAGTCTCTGTATTTTCATTCTCTTGGTACATGTTTAGCTTCATTGTGCTACAGACAATTAGATACAATAAACCTAATGGATGCAAATCCAGTGGTCTCTTTTAGGAAAATGAAGTGGTACTCTACCCATTTGAAAACGAAGGGGTAGCTTCTAAACTGAAAAAGTCAGGCCTGCTATAGCCAATAAATAAATAAACCACAAAAGAACTGTGCTCTGTCAATCATAATCATCTAGGGAGAAATGAGACAGAAGCTTATCTAAGAACACACAGGAACTCACTTTCATTTTGTTATATAAAAACATTCTGAATGATACAACACACATACGTTGTAATAACTCCAGCTTGAAAAAGCCAAATCAAACCCAAAGGCTGTTTCTCATCAGTTGTGTGAGATTCTGGTGGAACAGCTGTCTGAAGCAATCTGGATTCAGTCTTACAGAAAGCCACTGAGGATTCAATATTTAGAATTCCTCACATAGGACTTACAAATAAAAATCGACTCGATGGATCTAGCCAGTAACAATATTCTGCAGAATGTCAAGACTTAGCTCAATTTTCTTTTGTTAAAAAAAACCCCAGACCAACAACCCAATGAACAAGAATCTGAGTCAGTTTTTGGGATACAAGAAATATAGCAAGAGTAAGATTACCTCCCAGTCACCAACCTTAAGGCAGACAGACTAAAAAAGGAATTGTACAAAGTGCACAAAGCATCTTTATGCTAGTCATGCTGAAAACTACCAAAATGAGGAATAGCATAATAATGTTGCAAATGATCATTACTTGTTGGAAGGCATTTCTGAGAAGGATAGACACATATGCATTGTCAAAACAGAATCTTCAAACACAGACTCTCCTGGGGGCACTATTGAAGATGGATGGGAACTGGAGATGGCTGTCCATTTTGACTCTGTCAAGTCATGGAAATCTACTCCTAGCTTCCTTACTACATTTTAAAAGACCCAAACCACTTAAAGACACTAAAAAGTATTATGAATGTTCAATATTATCATCAATCTTAGAGAGTCCAATGGAGGGCTAAGATGATGAGGGGACTGGAGCATCTGTCCTATGAGGAAAGGCTGAGAGACCTGGGGCTTTTCAGCCTGGAGAAGAGGAGACTGAGGGGACCTTATCAACACTTATAAATATCTAAAGGGTGGGTGCCAAGAGGATGGGCCCAGGCTCTTCTCAGTGGTGCCCAGTGACAGGACAAGGGGCAACGGGCACAAACTGGAGCACGGGAAGTTCCGCTTGAACAGGAGGAAAAACTTCTTTACTCTGAGGGTGGTAGAGCACTGGAACAGGCTGCCCAGGGAGGCTGTGGAGTCTCCTTCCCTGGAGAGATTCAAGGCCCGCCTGGATGCAGCCCTGTGTGACCTGCTGTAGGTGAATGTGCTTCAGCAGGGGACTGGACTAGATGATCTCCAGAGGTCACTTCCAACCCCTATGATTCTGTGATATACTACTGTTTACTCCTGTAACTTGAATTATATATTATTCAAAAAGTACAGTTTAGTCACACTGTTACTTGATATCCACAATTACTATTAATTTCTGAAACTGAAAGGCTTCTCACAGGACTCCAAATAGCTACGGTGCAAGTACAAAACAACCAGTACAATTCACTTCAATTGCTACATGAATGATGTCCACTAAAAGAGACCTAAAAACTTGAGTTTCAGCTCTGTAAATTAGTGGTAATGTGTTTTCAAACACATAAAATATAATGTACGCAAATCATCTACTATACAACTATTGCATTGTGATCAAAGCAGTAACAAAACCAAATGAATATATCAGTTAACAAGTGTTTCACAGATACTGCCGTCTCAAATGAAAATCTTCTAGATTTCATTCTTTTAGGGACAAACCAGAAGACTACCAAAATCAACAGAAATATTTCAACTGACTTTGAATTAGGATTTTATTGTAGACCAACAAAAAAATATGACTATATAACCTCCCTTTGTGTTACTGTCAGGTCACTCGTCTACAATACACAGGTTTTGACAGCCACGTAAAGCAGGAACTGCTGGTTTGGGTTACTGACATCCATAATGTGACAAAACTGCTCTGAGACAACAAAGAGAACACAATGCCAGAATTAAACAAGCTGAATGTATGCAGTTTGAAATATTTCATATACATTTTCCAGCTCTCCATCAGAAAAGGAAAGGACAACTACGCCTCTTATTTTTTTTATTCCATACAGTATAACTTCCCAATGGAAAGGAACCTGTTTTAGAACTTGGCTTGTCTTTTGTTTGCAGGCTATTAGTGACCTATTAATGGCAAGTATGCTGTCAGCCAGCCATTAATTATAAACCTGTATTCATTCAAGATGCTGATCTTGAGGTCAACTCTGATCTTTCCAGGAATCTCTGCTGATCCTTGGAAGACTAAGTGGAGCATCAGCCCGAGACAAACATTTAACATCCACTTCATACTTTTTTTAAAAAGTCAAAATATTGCAAAAACATACACTTGTTAGTGTGCTATCATACTGAGGCTTGTTTCAATTAATAATTTATAATCTGTGAGGCTACGGAACCTGCAATCTACTATTACAAAAATAACACACAAGAAAAAAAATGTACAAAAAACCCCTATGCTAGACATTACATGAAATACAATTGTAATCATAAAACTGTGAAACACTTATTCAGCAGCCCTTTCAAAATGGCATAACAGATATTGCAGTTGTAGGAAGATACTGAAAATTATCAATATATTAAAAATGCTTCTCTAGGCATTTTCTGTCTATCCATAAAAATTTACAACCAGCAGTGAAATAATTTAAAAGCTTCTTCAGATCTTTCTCTCATAAAAACACACCTTCCTGAAAACTCTACCATGGCATAATCCTCTGCTCCATTAGCAAAACCGCAGCATGCTGAAACTACAGGTTCAAATTACTACCAGTGAAAACCAATATTCTTTTATTTGTCCTTTCTTCAACACCTAAGGAGTAGCTATGGGTCATTTGAAATAATTTTCAGGTGGTATCAGCAGAAAATCTTGACAAGTATCCATCTCAGACGAACAAAGAGCTGACACCTGGAGGGGCAGGGAGGGTGGATGCTCTCTGAAGATAAAGCTTGTTCAGACTGATTGGTCTCGAGTGTTAGAAACCTTGTACAGTACATGAATATTTTCCATTATATCTACTTCAGTGACATCGGTTCTCCCTGAACAGCGGAAATTGTTGTAAACCAGCCGTAAACTACGTTGTAGTTATGTAACTATTCCATAAATACACAGATAGGTATTGAGCCAAGGGTGTACAGTCACAACAGCGTTGATTTACTGTATTTTTGCCACATGGTGTAGCACATACAGAAGTTGGTACTGTAAATGTATTGCATACAAGGTACTCCTATATAAGCAAAACTAATTAATGGGTTTGTTATCTCAGACAAGCTTTCTAATACTGTTTTACTCTCTAAATTATTCTTAAAATTCTTGATGCAGAAAGAGAAATGCTTCTAGACAGGATAGCTTTATTAATACCACATCATAAACTACTAAAACACAGGTATGTTAATTCAATATTTAAAGAGTAGGCAGTATAAATAGGTAAGATTTTCTCCACAGAATGATGACATGTCTGGTAAATTAATGTAATTGCTAAATTGAACTTTTTCAGTACGGAGGATCTCACCAACATATGTACCAACTACACTTCTGAGCCTGGAATTAAACGTATAGAAAAACAACCTAACACATCCTGACTTTTCATACACATAAGAAATCCTATTGTATGATTTCTAGAACCTTTTAAAATCCAAGATGGCTAAGAACTTATTCTAGCAGTCTGAACACCCCGAGGTTTGGCCTCAATTACAGCGGGAAAGTTTTAGAGTACTTAATAATCTTCTATGAAGAAAAGTTTTCTTCCCCTAAAATATAGCAAGAACTTAGTAGCTCTTTTACCATGAAGTCTGGTTTCCTGTGTCTTGATATTAGTCATTACAGATGGTACTGAAAGATATAATTTTAGATAAAACTATTTCATTTGGTTTTGCCCGTTACTTTGAAGCCATTATTTGCTATGTTGCTCTTACTGCCTTTTGACTATCGCTGCATTCTAAGCAGAGGTGTTTCTTGACTGTCTTTGTTGTTGTATTTTTTTTTTTTTTCTCCTGAATGGCTAATGTTTAATTTGGAACCCAAAACACTTTAGAGCTTTTCAGACTTCTTTTGGTCAATATATATACACATTCCCTTTTAAATATCGTCTTGTATCAGTTCAGCTGAAAGATCATTTTTCATTTTGATTAATATAAACAGTTTTTTTGAATCAGGGAATTTGCTTTTTCATATTTCATTTCCATTTCAGATAAGTAATACGTATATTGAACACCACCACAAAACTCATGACTTGCAGACAGCCTAGTCTTTTGCAATGACAAGAACTGACCAGTTGTTTATTTTCTGGCTCTCACACAGTTTCCAATACCTACCTAAGAGGCTCTGATCGATGCATGTTCCATTCAGCAAAGATTTTCCTTCTGGACAAGCACATGTTGCACCAGAAGGGTTGAGTAAACAAATGAATTCGCATATCAGGTCCAAGCATGGATTAGGTACTGTTTAAAAAGACAAAATATCAAAAATATTGATATAATTTTTTTTTTTTTGAATTACACTGTGTTCTAGAACTAGGAAAAAATAACTAATTAGATATAAAAATTCTGATACACTCCGAGTTTCCAGGATATCAACAGTCTGAAGTCAGTGAACACATGCACTCAAATTGCAGTGCAAGACTCACACCAGGATAGAATTTATTCCAGTAACAAAAAAGGCATTGGTAATATGCAGTAAAAAACTTCATCTGTCTTTAGCTAGAGGAACTTGTATTCAAGTTATTCATTTTCATATTCATTCATATTCATATTCATATTCATTCATATTCATATTCATATTCATTTGTTTTTTTTTATACCTCATTTACATTGTGGACAAGGTAAGCATTTGTCCAATGTCCTTGCAAATGAGAGAAAATACATTAAAAAATCTAAATCAAACATATAAAGAAATACGACTAAATCTATTTCCAGTCCTTGCAAATGAGAGAAAATACATTAAAAAAACTAAATCAAACATATAAAGAAATATGACTAAATCTATTTCCACTTTGTACAATCAGGCTGTGTTTTACATTTACACAATTCGGTTACTTCCCCCCGCCCCCCGAGGTGAACTTGCTCAATATTGAGTTTGAAGTAATTATGCTTACTCACAGTCCATCTGTTTGTAGCGGTGAAAAATCAAGGCACTTTTTGCTTTATCAACATCCACACTTAGATACTCTACAAGGCTCCCACCAAATTTGTGTACTCTAAACGCGCCATTTTTAGGACCTGCTCCATATATGTAATCCTCAAAAATGTCAATTCTATGTGGATGCAGTAAACCTTAAATAAGAATGAACAATACAAATACATATTCATATTCAAATAAACAACTTTGTTTTAAGAATAACTTCAGTTGCATTATTGCAATTACCACCTAAAGACACTATTATTCAGACAGCGTGTTTTGTTACCCACAAAGATTGCCTTTAAAAAAGCAATCTTCTTAGAAAGAACTCTCCCCATACTACAAGCAACAAAAATCTCAAATTTTGTATTCACTTTCCACACGATTCACCCTCAGACAATGGTTGATAATTGAAGACAAGGGAAACCCTACAGTAACAACTAGCTAATTAGAACATAGATACAACACTTTAACTAGAAGTATGTGACAAGGAAGAAACAGATTATTTTGCTATACATAAAAGAAACTCTTCTGACAGAACGTTTCTTCAGCTCCTTCTTAACATATTTGAAATGCTGGCTTTCATACTACACTTATTTCAATCTATAATTATAGTAAATTAATGCAAAATAAAATGTTAAGACTATCAATTCTTCATTTTTAAGAGCTACGTGTGCCGATTAGATCACGTAGTTGGATTTCCTATGTGCAACTGGTTGTAGAATTTCACACATTTATCCATGTAACAAGGCAATACCTTCTCTGTCTGAGATGCATCTCTTCTTGATTTGAAGACATAAAGAAAAAGAATCTACCATTTCTTGTGATACCTTGTTCCTTCCATCATCCCCATTTACTGTAAATTAATTTTATATTTCACTTGTTTTTATCTAGTTTCAGTTATCATCAGCTTTTATTTGTTCCTACTGTTTTTCCACTCTATCAATACTTGGTATTCAGTATTTTATTTCAATAAAAATATTTATGAATTTTAATTTATTTTTTAATGCTTGTTTAATTAAATCAATTGAAGTTTTAGTCTCATTGCAAAGCAATTTCTAAACCGCAATTTCCTTTTGGTCCTATTTCTTTAATGTTTCCATATTTAATCCAAATGTCAATAGGAGACAAAAGGTGACATTGCTCTAGTGATCTTGTATTTCAGTTTTAAAAGTATGGAAGCAACAACTCTCTACATTCCACTTTCACCTTTAGAAAGCCCAAAGTTGCTGTGTTTGGCACAGTATAGTACAGCCCTTCCAGGCTACAAAATATTTCTAAAGTCATCAACTTACACGCCTTCTACTTTGTAGCACTGTTGTGACTTTTTTCCCCTTGAACAACATCACATTTATTCTTAACAGAAATGACTACTGAGACACATTAAAACACAATCTAGGATACTCTGTCAGTCTTTGTACCAGCCACAAGCACTAAGTATGTATTTTGTGATAGCTTACAGCCTAGCTACTGTGAAATACCGCAACCAAAGGAGGTGCAAGCAAAGTCATGAGGAGTTACTGTCTTCTGAAAACCTCCTGTTGGGCATCTGCACAGTATAGTTCACTATTACAGGAGGCCGTAGTCAGATCCCTGTTCCTTCTTGAGATGACTGCTTCCATGTATGTTGATCCAAGTTGTGAAATAAACGCTTTTAAATCAGAATAAGATTATTTCAATCTGGTCTGCTCAATTTGGATTATGGGAGATTTTCCCTGGTATCTTCCAGAACCCCCTGGTGAATTCCAGATCATTGGCTAAAACACTCCATAGCACTGGATGTAACATCATCCTGAGGAACCTTCACTACCGACTGCTTGCTAAGCAACCCTCCCGAAAAACCTGCTTTCAAATTTTTCATTTTTTTTTTAATGTTTCCTCTCTTTTCTACTCAAATTTCATTAATTGTTACAGAAATTATCAAACTGTTAAAAAGCCAACACACAATTCTATAAAACCAGTTTGCTCAATCAGAACCTCCTTTCTTATGAAAGGAGCTGTCCTCATTCACAATCTATTAGCAGAATTCTGTGATTACTTACTGACCTGAAAGCCAAACCCATTATTTTTCCCAGAACTGATTCAAATCAACTGTTCTATACACTATCGAATGCCTGTGCAATGTAGAAAGCTCTAATTTTTAACTAGTCAGGGTACTCCTGTTGCTAATGTAAGTCCAGCCTATTATTTGATAATACCTAAGCTACTGATTAGGTAACAAACTTGGAGATTTGCAGGTATTACTGAATCATTGATCCCCTAAAGTAACTTTATCAGATTATCTTAAAGCTAAAATGATCTTAAACATCTCTTTGTTTAGATAACATCTGAAGCATTATCTAACAAAAGCAATTAATATTACTTGATAATCACTGCTTTTTGCTTACACAGTTTCTCTGATTAGTGAAACTTCAGCCAAATAAAATAAACTAGAAATCACGTTACACAAAAGCTCTCCATACCTTGTTTACTGCTCACAGACACAACTGAATCGGAACCATCGAAAAGAACGCTGCCAATGACAGATAATTCAAAATCAGCCCAGAACAAACGCTGACTGAACTGATCGACTACGAGACCTATAAAGAAAATAAAGTTCAAACAAGTATATGAAACCCGAAAAAAAAAATAATTTTTATGTAACTTTACATTCTCATGTCATTCATATTCTTGTGAACACGAAATATGTTGACTATGAAAAATCATGACTGGAAAACAAGGAGAATAAAATATAACACCTTCTCTTAAACCTTCCCCTTGAGGCAGCTGTGGTCTTTAACTTGCTCCTCCAAGGTCAGTGCCTTTTCAAACCCATTATCCTCAGCAGGTAGGGACATATACCAGGTGGGAATTAAAAATAGAATCTAATCCTGTAATTTGCTCTACCAACAAAAAATCTATTATGTCAATAGATTTCTAAGCAGTAGCACCAGTGTGACCACACGTTAAAAACAAGGCATTCAGATTTCAGAGTCTTCCTAACCTATCCTGTTTCCACAGGTATATCATGGTGGTTTTTTAATCACCAATAACTCACTTGCAGTAATTATTACAGAATTAAAAATCAGATTATTTTCATTACATCGGCGCTGCAAGACTTAAACAGCAATATTGACAGATGTATATATTTACATATATATGAAAAGAAAGCACAAGAGTGAGTGACTGAGAGCTCAAATAAGAATAAAAGATAGATAACATTGTGACTAGCCAGCCTCTAGGCAATAACTAAATAGTTAAATCAAGTAGTCCCTGTTTCATAGAGGATGATTAAATGATTAATATGCCATTTTAGGTCATGTCAAAAGCTTCAGCCTGAAAAAATATTTGAACCATAAAATAATTTAATTCTGAGCTTTTGAAGTTGTAGTGTATTTTTAATAAGAATGGGAAAAAGTATTTTTCTTCCCATTTATGTAAGTAGGTAAGTCGGAAAAAATACATCAAAAGAAATTATACATAACAGCAAAAATACTCCTCTTAGGGTCATAAATTAATCAGCTACAGATAGATGAGAGGAAGTGGAGGAAGTCTGACGCATAGACCAGTGAAATATGTTTACATTTGCAACTCCATTAAAAACCCCACTCTTTAAAAGAAACACTGGCGTTCAGGCATACAGCTAAAGAGAATAATTTCTGGTAAAAGATAATCACAATGTGTCAACTCTGTGTGATGCATGGTACCTGCAAGGGGGAACATTTATAAGCAGTCCCCACTCTCCAGCTTTAAATTATTCTTTGCATTTTATTAAGAATATTTAAATATCAAATAATAAACAACATTCTCAATGTATCCTTCACAGTATCAGAGATAACAATATAAAAAAGGACTTATTTTTGTTTTATACATACAGCACTCCTGTGATAGTAATTTTTATGTAAATCCTGTGAAGTCAAGCCCAAATGCTCAACTCTCACTCTTTTACTTGAAATAGGAAAAGCTTATTTAGTAATAAATTTAAGAGCAGATGCTTAGTAAAATCTTAAACAATAAATCTCTAAACAATAGTAGTTTCATTTGGAAGGAAATAGAAAAGGCTTAGACTCTTTCTTTGCATTCCCTCGACAAAGACACGGATCTGTGTGAAATATCTGACAAAAAATTAAAAGACTCCATAAATGTCTATTTTCTACCAGGAAGTAAAGGAAGAAAAGCTAAATCTGCTAATTTTCCTAATTTTAATTTTATTTGCACTTGTAAGGAGAGAGAGGTATGGTTAAATGCTTATATGAAACTCTTCTATACAAAGTATATCAAGTAAAGTGTATCAGTTCTGGTCAGGGAAGAAGGAAATACTTGCATTTTCAGGTAAGTTCGATACCATTACCACATATAGAATTCAATAAATTCATTAATCCAAAACTCATGGCCATAAAGAAAAACGTGGTTTAAATGCCCTTTAATGGCCAAGGAAGTGGTGCCTGGCTCTGTAGGACATAACCTTGGCAATCAATCAGACTGATAAGACACAAAAAAGCACAATTCTGGCAATTAGAACTAAATCTAATGATTTGTACATCTCATATGTTCACAATATTTTATATAGGAAGTTCAGTAAAGAATACGTAACAACTCTGACAATAAAATTCTGTAGTCTTTCAGTCTGAATAAACAGAAGCTTCTTACTGAATTTACTATTGACTACATGTTTTTTATTACTATTGTGCTTCTTACTTGCCTAAGGAGCATAAGCTTCCTCTCCTCAAAGCTTTCCTGATCACATATGTAATTTCTCAAGTTGCTATATTTCAATCTAATCATGTCAATAAAGAAATATTGTTTCCTTTAAGGGATGAGTGTAATTTGCACACACAACACCATAAGCCCACCTTAGCACTGGACTTAACAGTCAGTTAAAATTTTATTACTTGTTGCTGTGACAGCGGCAGCTTCTGAGACACTTAGTCATTCAGAGAGCATCATCTTGCCAGAAGCCTTACGTTTCAATAGATATGCACACCAAAGTTGGGCAAGCCCTAATTAGCAATGCAATAACAACAAAGTATCATTGTAAGCCTGGAGAAACATCAAAGATCGCATGAGAAAACGGGTCATGAACAAGTCATTTGTGGTTGCAAGACAGGATGCTGCTATTTAAGAGACACATTTCATTCTGGATTTATCATGTTCTTTGTCATAAAAACGACTTTTATCCTGCCAATGGAGTCTTAATGGTAATTCACAAGATCTCAATGTGTACTGTCAAGCTTCACAACAGTTCTGTACAATACTGAGATAATTAAGTTGTTGCTTCTTTGAATATCTAAACCTTGTTTCATACCATTTTGCAGTGTATGCAGGCAAGGAACTAGAACAGGCTGTGAAATTTCATGTGCTTTCTTAATAAATGTGTCTCACTACTAACTGGTGTTCCCTTAATTGATTTTGCTTGTTCAGTGTTATTGAACAAATCACATTTTAACAGATTATATATAGTGCTCCAGTACCGCTTTGTAAAATCATCATATTAAGCTTTGTTACAAAAGTGTAAGTCATATGAAGATGTATCATTTGAAAACAGAACTACTTGATTAGTAATGGCATACGAATAACCAGAATATGTATTTTTAAAAGTATGTACTTTTTTTTTTCAAACCCAGAAACTGGAATTCAGCCAAACTGAGTTAGCAAGGATCATGTAATTAGGAAAAATGGATAAGCTCTATACCTGTAGGTCTTTGTAAATTCTTTTGAACCAATATCCTTCTCAGAGTACCATCCATAGATGATTCCTCTATGTGAGAGCGATCCCCAATTACTGTCCAGTACATCATCCTAAAAGTATTAAACGTAAAAAATAAGCTGAACCTCAAAACGCTTCATTGATATTAAATGACTATGAGCCTTTCAACCTTCCTGAAAGATGGGAGATAACTGATCCTGATTTACATACAGGTAAATTGAGCAGGTAAGTTAAGTAAATGACTTGGAAAAGTTTAGACATAATTTTATTTCTCATACTCCACTTTGCATTTTGGTTTGAATTACCAAAACAGAGTAATGTTAAAACATACATACCCCTTCTTAGGATTTACAGCGATTGCATATGGTTCTCCTGCCATGCTTGTAAGGAGTCTTGTACAGTTTGGCCCGTTCAATTGACCTACATTGATGGAGTATCTCAGACTAGTCCAATGAGTTGTATAGTAGCTGAACCAATGCATTCTGGAATGATCAGTCCAGTAAATATTTCCAGCAACCCAGTCAACAGCAATGCCCCTAGGTCTTTTGAATTCTGGACACTAAGAGGAACAGATGTTAAAGTCAGATTAACAGAAATCATCTTGCACAGCAGCTGCATAGTCAAAGTTTTTTATAACCTTTTACAGTTAAGTAACTTCTACCTTTAATATGGTGAAATTTTCAAAAACACTGCATTGGAAAAATATAAATTCCACATTCAGGAGATCAGCTCCAAGCAATCTGCTGACAATTCAATGCAGAAGAACAAGTCAATAGTTCAAAACTGTTTTCTCAACTCTAAGGCTACCTACATTAAGAAAAAGGCAGGCACAAACTACTTGAACTATTGATAATGAAGCAAACAAATGTTATATACTGTAATTTTAAAGGAAAAGAAAAGGCAGAATTAAGATTACACAGCTATTATCTCCATGCAGAACTATGGTATGATGTCCCATCTCAAAGCCCTCAGTGAAAATGGTGCTTGAAACCATCCTGAGGTACAGCTGCTCAGCAGTCTGCCAAGGATAAATAAAATCACTACATTTAGAAAACTGCATAAAATCACCTCTGTATTCTGACCAATACTAGCATGCAATTGTAAGGAAACTTTTGAAATGTTTCTCTTCCCTTGCTGTTAACTGTTCCTGTGTTCCACCACCGATTACAACTAGAGTTAGTGCAATATTCAGCTTCACATGTAAAAGAGGCTCGACTGATTATAATTTTAAAATTATAAACTGTAGTATATCTGACATGATTTCACAATTATCATTAAGGCCTACATCCTAAAAAATGGTCCTAAGGATAGAAGTTCATATTGCAAAGTTTACTAGAATTTCTGCAGCGAGAAGTAAAATCTGTAAAACAGGAATACCCAACTATTTCTAACATGAATGCAGCATATGATAAAAAATTCCAGACCTGCATGAGCTAAATACAGATGCAGTTGTTTGCCTGTTTACCTATAATGACATCAAGTTAAACTATGAACAAAAACTGTCTATTCCTGGACAAATGCGGTAATGGAATGCTACTAAGCTATGTAACTAAAAATCAGGAAAGAAAATCCTAAAATAACTTGTTTTCCTCCAGTGTCAGAGTTCCCTAATACCACAAGACATTTGTAGACTATTTTCATCATAAAATAAAGGTCATTTCATTCTTTAGGTGAAATAATAGGGCTGCAAGGCTGAATTTAGATAGTTCATTGTTCACAACCTTTAATTCTCCAAAAATGTCATAGGATGCATGTTCTAAAGATATACAGAACCCTGGCTTTCTATTTAGATGAGTATTAAAGCAGCAAAATCAATCACTGCATTTACAAAACAGTATTTCTTGAAAAACAAGGTCACAGTCATTTTTTTAAAGTTAAACAAAATAATGTACCATGATTCTTTGCTATGAACTGATGACACTGGCAGCTTATGCTTCCAGAAATACCACAAAAATAAACTATATTTTTTTCCAAGAAATGTTGCATTGGCATTCAATAACTTCTTTTTTTTTCTTTGTTACATCATCCAAGCAACATTCATGTAGAGAACAAGGTATCAAAAAATGTGGGTATTTGCAGATAAGCGCTGTTGTATTTTTATCCAAACTCCTTTTATAATTCCGGGTAATATTCAGGCACCTGAAACCTCTTATACCTGGAGATCTCCAGCTACTACCTTGGAGGCTGCAAGGGTTACCGGCACTGGCCTACAAGGCTGGAGCAAAATACTCTTTCAGAAGGAGGGCAGCTATCACGGACAGTACAGTCCCTTGCCTTTCTTTGGGCTGTTCGACAACCAAAGACTGGTTATTTTGGAACCTGGTAAGCGCGTGATGGGAGTTACCACGTAGTGTGAGAGACGGTTCCCAAAAAAGCTGGTAGTTGAAGCAGATGAGACAAAGGGACGTCCTAAAAAGATTCTGGGACAAGGCTGGGTCACTTACTAACACTGACTCTTTCTCATTCTTTTCAACTATACAAGGAGAAGTGAAATTCCAGTAATGCCGGGGTGCATATTAAAGATCAAATGAACAGGGGGCTAGCCAGAAGAAATGAAAAGCAGCCATCTGGTGTAAGAGACTAAAAAAGAGAATTAAAACCACCAACTGATGCCATGGCTGTGTAAATCTCAGCTGTGTTCATTAAGTTTCAGCCTAGCTACATCATATTTCTGATGTCTTATGCATCTTCTCATACTAAGAAAATTACTTACTGCAAATGAGCTTTTACCTAATAGCTTATTTGGATTATGTTAATTTCAAAGAATGATTTTGCATACAGAATAAGGATGAAAATACAGGAACAAATTCACATCACTATTTTCTACAGCTGTTTTAGCCCATTTTGATGCTAAATATAACATACTACAACTTATTAGAAAAATCAGGGTTTGAAGCCTAATCGCCTTTCCTAGTGTGGTAGTCTGCACAACTACAGACCACGTCAGCTTGATGACTTTTGATCAGAACTGCTGCGCACCATAAACCTTTTTAAAGGTAAAGAACTAAAATAAATAAATAAATAAATAAATAAATTTCAATCCCCATGGCTGAGTTTGGAGAAAATACGTTACACATGCAGCAGGAACCCATCACCTTGCAATGCTTAGCATTTTAACACAGGAAGACTAAATTACAAATTTAATTTATACCATAAACAGATGTGAAGCAATATTTTCTCTATTTACTTTACAGCTGTTTTCGATATGGCATTGCTGTGGAATAAAGTAAACCAATGATTTCTTGTTGCTTAAAATACCCTCATTAAAAATACTCCATTATCTAATGACACATTATTAGAACAGTAAAAATAAATGAGAAACAATAATACTAGAAAACTTTGAGACTTTTACTTGCTGAAACAGAAAATTTTCCTTGACAGACGAGCAGCCCAGTAAGTGCAATGGTTCATCAAACCAAACCACCATTTGGATTACATAAATAGGATCGTTTAAAAAAACCCAATCAGCTGATTCCAGGAAGAGAGGGTCTCCTAAGTACATAAATGTCATCCATACAGAGCTATAGCTTTAAGGTAGAACCAGAAATTAAAACTATTTAGAGAAAAGGGTCTAGAAATTTGTTTCCACTCACAGTGATGCACTGAATTTCACTCACCCTGGGGCAAACGTTGGGAGTATATATGTGGATATATCACAAGAGTGGTTAAGGGTCCTTGTTAAGCTCTCAGAGCAGCGGGGCAGGAGCAGGCTGGATACGTTATAACATACAATATACCGACTGGATTCGTTACAAACCCAATGTTTTTCTTCCTATTCTATGGTACAATTATTTTAATGTTCAGCTTTGTGTCCTCTTCCATGAAAAACAGCACTTGAGTCAAGAGTCGCAAGTCACTCTGCATCGAATATTCACCTCAGATAACTTATGCATCTCTCTCCAAGGGTTATGCCAGCAAACAGCTGCACCAGTTACCACCAACTCGCTCACACTGCCTTAACTCGATTGGAATGCAACCCTCTTCCGCATCTGTCAATAAACTCTGAAGAGTTGATATCTACTATTTCCTTTAATGCTTCAATTTGTACCAAGCTTAAACCCCTTTTCACAGAAAAATATGAGAGATACTTAAAGCTATTCTCTGAGGAAGGCTCTTGATATGCTAATTCCATGGAGCAATTTCAGTTGAGATGGATTTTTGCATTAATGTAATTACCTGAAAATGCAGGTGACTTTGTTCAAGTTTACTGTTCCGATTTACATATCAAAGTCTAAATATAAAAGTTATAATGTAACCTTTGAAAACTTATCCATTAAAAAAACTTGGGTTAGAATTAAGGGATTCTCTAGCTTTTCAAAACCAAATTTAAGTGACGATATTAAAGCAACACTACAAAACCAATTAACCTACTGATCGGTTATATAAGGCAATAATATTTGGGTATTAATGAGATAAAGCTGGGAAAATATTCTGAATAGTTTAGCACAATGAGAAGTAAATGCTTCACAAACATAAACGAAATGTGTCCGAGATATAATCAGATACAGTCTGTGCATTTTCCACATACAGATATGTAAAAAATCTTTGCATGGCTTGGATCAAGCATCTTCACGAGCACCTACCTGTACTGAAAAGACAGGAGAAAATAGTGTACAAAGAAAAACATATTTTTCTTCAATAATTTTGAATTAGGAGGAATTGGCAAGAAAGCATTCTTGCATAAGGGTGAGAGAGACAAGCAAAATGTATTTCAGTACTACAGAAAAATAATAGTAATTCTAAGAGCATTTGCTCTGTATTATATTAAACAGGGACACAGCGTGAAATCAGCTATAAAAATTTCAACCCCTGGACTATGATCAATTCTCAGTGAAGTTTATGTTCAAATTTATGGACCTGTAAGAAAGTGTAGATCCATTCGGGGGGTTGCAGGTCAGCAAACTACACTTACCCTTGCAGAAGGCCTCTGCATATTAACCCATAAATAAATAAATAACAACAAAACCCCCTAACACTTCAGTTTCACAAGACTTTACAAGTTCATGATTTCCTAATAATGAACTCGATACAGAGCTGTGTCTGCCAGGCACAGGTCTCTGCCACATTTAAATGAGGAAAATGTCACAGTAGAATTACTGCGTATCTTCAATACATGGGTTCTCAAAGTATCCTTCCCCAAAACTCAAATGACTATCTGACCTCCTAGAAATGCTAGGAATAACTTTCTACTCTAGATCTACTTTACATATATTCTCTGTCAACAAAATCTAGACCCTCCTCTGCTGGGCAGGCGGAAGCACTGGCTTTTAACCACTCTTCCCACCTACATGCCATCACAGACACAAGGTATCTTCAGTGTCCATTGGTGTCTACATCTCCAAGCTTTTTGCCCTGTTGGCATCACAGGCCAGAATGCCATTTGTTTGCAAAGGAAACATTGTTGGATGAAAGGTACTTAGAAGTGGCTTCAGATGTGTAAGAGTTGAACAATAGATGAAAGATCAGTCTACTGTTGCTACTGCTGTTTATTCTACCGGGTATATAAAAGCATTCAGGTGATGTAAGGTCGTCCCTGTTACCTCTCCCAAGTTTAAGAAAACATTGTTAACCTGATTTATCACTGGCCAAGACAAAACCTAAAAACTCCTCTCCTCTGCTATTTCATTTAATAAAAAGTAATAAAAAATAAATCTAACTTTTCAGCATTATAGAAACACCAACATAAATATCACATTGTTGTCTTCAGTTCAGCACTAACGCTTCCTTGAGAATTTCGTACAAATATATTAGGGAAAATGAGAATCAATCTGCATTTATGTTATTTTCGACTAAAGACCATTTGAAATTACACTAGGTTATAAAAATCCACATTTCTGCTGTAAAGTGCACATTTATGCTTATTCAAAATAAGATACTATGCAGTTCAACATATAAAGAAATAATACTTATTGTTCTGATTTTCAAATGTTTGTCATAGCTTTGCCAAACTTATCGCTTATATGATCACTGAAGAAATAAAGCTTGTCTTTGGCCTATCTACATTTTCTGTTTTCCAAGGATTTGAAATTCATGCTTTTCTTCAAACCATGTGCTACTTACATACATCTATTACATCGTCTCTTTTCTCTCTTAAGATAAAAAAATCTTGATGGTATACAATCTTTCCAAGCCTCAAACATACTGGTTATTTTTCTGTAGAAAACTGTTTTAAATGCTATAGTTAGAGACTCAACTAACTGTTGGAGTCCAGGATGGAAAGGCACTAGTAGACATACATCCAATTTGAATAAAATCATTCTCAGATATTTTAAGCTACTAAATCAGCACGTGTTATTACAGACAACCAGAACAGAAAAGTAAATCAAAAGAAATCTGTATCATGTAAACTTTGATTTCGATCACTTACTATCAAGCCACTGCTGCTTTGCCTTCTCTCTCTGTCGTGAAGTTTTCTGTAGAAAATCCCTCCTGGATTAAACTGAGTGCTCCAAACAATCATGTCCCCTTGAAAATATGCATCCATTCCAGTTATCCTTGAATTATGTTCAATATGTGATATTTGCTGAGGAACATCACTGTAGTTGAATGGATATGCAAAACCCAGGATGTCAGTGTCATTAGCAACATAGAGAACTTGATCTTCAGAGCCTAGGGATTATTATAATGAAACAAAAATAAGGTAAATGTCAACTAATGCAAAATCAGTGTTTTTCACTCAAGTAGCTTTCTGGTGTTTATCTGATATAATTTCTTACGTTAAAATTATTTTCTGATTGTGGAAGACTGCAAAAACACTCACACTCTGGGCAATAAATGCAACTCTTCATACTCCGGCACCAATATATGTTACTTCATTGCTCTCCAAGCTCACACTCTGACACCTAAGACTATATTTTAAGGAGAATTTGAACACTTTAAGCAGTATACAAAAATAGGGGATAGCAGGCATTAAGACCATATGGATCGCTATATATTTTTATATGCATGCTGTGACTAGAGGGTCCTGAATGGATATTTTAAAGGAACACAAAGTTGCCAGTAAGCATTATTTTAAATTGCTTAATTGGAATTGGGAAATTAGAAATGGAACGATCCTATCTTTAGCGAGTGCAGTGAAGTTTTGAAATTGTAACATGAGCAAAAGGGACTGAAGCTGCTACAGAACATGTGCAGTTGTACCTTATATCTCCTCATTTCAGACAGTGAACATTCATGGATACCTGTGAATGGGTGGTATTTATGGATGCCTAGTTACCATCTCAATCCTGAAGCTGTAAAGTAGGTTATACATAAGAAAACGCTCTCTGGTATCTGTTCATCAAGTTTTGAGGAGTTTCAAATCTGCCGGATACATTACACTGCATTTGTAATTTTTTAGTTTTCCAATTTACATCACATTTATCCACCGAGAATCAACTTATGTCTTTCCAACACGTTTCCTCCTTAGGAGCATGAA